ATGCTCAGAGTTTGTAGTTGCACCGATGTTCTGCCCTCGTCCTTGTTGACTTTCACCGTGCTTCGAACACTCATCTGTGTGGGTGATCATTTAAATTTTTTTTAAATTTTGCCCCGAGGGGCGAGTTTATTGGGCAGCGCCACTCATCTTGTGAGTGAACTTACTGCCATAGCAGAATGTACAACACCCCAATAGGAAGAAAACCCGCTGGGTTGTTCATCCCGTGGGTGATCATGTCACTTCGTACTGCTCTGTTTTTCCAGATAGTAAAGTTATGGAAGCTGTGTGCTCACTGTGGCTCCAGGTCGGGCTGCCTACCTTGTGGCTGCCTAGTGTAGCTTCCAGGGATGAACTGCCCCGCCGCCCTGGTCTCCGACCAGGCCTCCAGGTTGGTCGTCTGGTCAACCAGGCTATTGGACGCGGCTGGACGTATCGATCACAGCCTGGTTGATCAAGTATTCTTTGGAGGTGTTTGTCGAGCTCTCTCTTGAACACTGTCAGAGGGTCGGCCAGTTATGCTCCTTATGTGTAGTGGAAGAGTGTTGAAAAGTCTTGGGCCCACCATCTCCCTCCCTCCCCACCATTCCCCCCCTCCCCACCATCTCCCCGTCACCCCCGGGGCTCCATCCCATCGTACCCGCGCCACGCGCTCTGACATTGTATTTGTGTGTTGAACAGCAGGTTAATCACGGCCCTGTCTCGCTCCTCTGCACCTCACTTTGTTATTGCCTGAGGAAGCTATTTGGTCCCCACGCCCTCCCCAGCCCCTCCCCAGCCCCTCCCCAGCCCCTCCCCAGCCCCCCAGGTCAGGTTCGGGGAGCATAATAACTCAGGAAACCCTGTCCAGGTATACTCCAGGTATGGGGGGAGGGTTCACAATGGTTTACAAGACCAAGAAGGCCGCCATAAACTCTCCCGACACCACAAACGCCTTAAGGGAGACGAACGTGGTCTATATTTTTACGTGTCCACTTGGAGACCACAGTAGAAGCAGTCCGGCCTCCTGAGGTTCCCCAACGTCAAGAAACTGTCGTACTAAAGTGTCCTTATCCTAACTTACCAGAGGACCCAAAACAGAAAACGGGACAGTCTTACTTTCGCGAGCCGGCGCCATTTTCTAGTACGACCTGATAGTATGGGGCCTAACAGCTGAGTGCTAGGGATTCGTAGTGCTGAGGTTCCGGGTTCGATCCCCGGTGGAGACGGAAACAAATGGGCAGAGTTTCTTTCGCCCTGATGCTCCTGTTATCTAGCAGTAAATAGGAACCTGGGAGTTAGACAGCTGCTACGGGTAAGTTCACAACGGGCTCCTTGCCACGGCGTTGGGGAGGAGCTCAAGAGAAAACTGGACTGTTTCCTCCAAGGAGTGCCGGACCAACCGGGCTGTGGTGGGTATGTGGGCCTGCGGGCCGCTCCAAGCAACAGCCTGGTGGACCAAACTCTCACAAGTCAAGCCTGGCCTCGGGTCGGGCTTGGGGAGTAGAACAACTCCCAGAACCCCATCAACCAGGTATCAACCAGGCTCCTTACCTCGAGGTGTTTCCGGGGCTTAGCGTCCCCGCGGCCCGGTCGTCGACCAGGCCTCCTATAACCCGTGCTACCTGGAACTTGTTGTTCCAAGTAGCGAATCTTAAACAACAACAACAATGTCACCTGCTTCCAGCTTCACGGGCTCACCATAGCCCGTGCTACCTGGACATATTGTTCTGAGTAGCGAAAATAAAAAATGGCTCACGGTAACCTGTCTATGTCCCTCTGTATCACAGAGCTACATATATACAGTATATATAATAGTCCCTTATTTGACTCTCTGTTTCCTTCGTTGTCGGTGGTACGTAGTTGTTCCTCCCTGGCTCGTTACTTTCCCTTTACTCTCCCTGGCTCGTTACTTTCCCTTTACTCTCCCTGGCCCGTTACTTTCCCTTTACTCTCCCTGGCTCGTTACTTTCCCTTTACTCTCCCTGGCCCGTTACTTTCCCTTTACTCTCCCTGGCTCGTTACTTTCCCTTTACTCTCCCTGGCCCGTTACTTTCCCTTTACTCTCCCTGGCTCGTTACTTTCCCTTTACTCTCCCTGGCTCGTTACTTTCCCTTTACTCTCCCTGGCCCGTAACCTTCCTTTTACTCTCCCTGGCTCGTTACTTTCCCTTTACTCTCCCTGACTCGTTACTTTCCCTTTACTCTCCCTGGCTCGTTACTTTCCCTTTACTCTCCCTGGCTCGTTACTTCCCCTTTACTCTCCCTGGCTCGTTACCTTCCCTTTACTCTCCCTGGCTCGTTACCTTCCCTTTACTCTCCCTGGCTCGTTACCTTCCCTTTACTCTCCCTGGCTCGTTACCTTCCCTTTACTCTCCCTGGCTCGTTACCTTCCCTTTACTCCCTCACCCACCTTCCCACCCTTATGAATATGTCTTCTAATCGTACTAAGTCAACAATATATTTTCATTAAGGGTGTTGGAGATGCAGTTCGCAGCCATAATTAATGCTCACTTCCAGGTAAAGCTTCTGGCTGTGTGTGTGCGTGCGTGCGTGCGTGTGTGTGTGTGTGTGTGTGTGTGTGTGTGTGTGTGTGTGTGTGTGTGTGTGTGTGTGTGTGTGTGCGCGCGCGCATGTGTGCGCATGTGTGTGTGTGCATGTGTGCGCGTGTGTGTGTGCGTGTGTGTGTGGGGGGGGGGGATTGATATATCAAGGATACAAGTATGGGCCAAAATGTTCTTGTGCGGTTTCGTGTATTCATATGCTCTTGGATTCACTGATAGTTTTCTCTCCTCTTTACAGGTAACCCAACAGTGTTGAGAGGCTCCCTGATGGGGGCGGCCAGCCGGTGCGTATGTGGAGGCTGGGGTAGTGGGTGTACACAGCCGGGGTGCACACAGCCGGGGTGTACACCTCATATGTACAGTCGCTTCTAGCGTAGGTTTGACATCTGAATGAGTTTGTGTGGATATATATAGGAATACTGCATTACCTTAATTCTTATGTTATTAGGTTAAGTTGTTAAGTCTACCATCAAAGTATATCTCACCATATATACTTTGATGGTGGGCAATTATGACCACCAGATATTTCAAAGTATGACAATGTCAGACCACGGAGGAAAAATGAAACAGGAAATTTCCTTAAGACCTTCTGAAGATGTATTTAATATACGAAAGTACTTAAGGAAATTTCCTGTTTCATTTTTCCTCCGTGGTCTGACATTGTCACATTCTTAATCACGTGTTTATTTTCGTGATATACACACATTTCAAAGTATATCTGGTGGGCATAATTTGGTAAGTCTCGTGGGTGCCTACCACCTCACGTAGTCTATGGTGGGTACGACGGTAGTTACGACGGTAGTTACGATGGTGCTGGCTGTGTGGACCACTCCGCAAATCAGAGGTCCATATAATGCTCTTTGTAAAAGAGTTATTCCTCTAGTTTTTTATTGTTGTGGAAAGAAATCGATAAAAAAAATTATTTTGCCGTAACAACAAATGTAGAAAATGTGTGTGAAATGTTTATATTGCAAGGCCATCAATGGTGTTGAAGGCCAGGTGAAGGTGTTAAAGGTTGATCAGTCCAGCATCCAGGAGGCCAGGTCGACGACCGGGCCGCGGGGACGCTAAGCCCCGGAAAAACTCCAAGGTAACTCGAAGGTAAGGTAAGGGGGAACGTGAGAAATTTCCGTAAAGATTCCGGGAATCGACTTCCCCGCTGTTTGGTCTCTTGACCAGGCGTCTCCTGGACTGGTCAACCAGGCTGTTGGACGCGGCTACTCGCAGCCTTACGGATGAACCACACCCAGCCTGGTTGATCAGATATCCCTATAAATTAGCGTAGTTTTTAAGCTTTATAAGAAGACAATTATGAACGACATAGTATTAATGTTCACCCGCGCGAGTGCACACAAAAGTAGTTCTAATGGAAACAAGTACAGTCGGGACCATCATATTTAATGGACCAACAACAGCCCAGAAGGTGGGGGGCCCAGGAGCCGACTCTCGTTCCTGCAGGAACAAGTTGTCAAATACCCTCATTTTCCCCCTTGCGTTCTTGAAGATAGGAAAATGCTCATTTGTCTCTGAGCAGCATGTGGCGAGGGCAGGGAAATGAAGTGTCAAACAACACAGGACACGACGGAGTTGGCCTTGACAAGGCCGCGCCATCACAAGAAACAGATCCCCAAGAACGCAGTTAATTGAGGCAGCATCCAACCCTTTACTCCACATTCCTCGAGTTTTTAAAGGAGGCAGTACGAGTCCAGGGAGAGGAAGGGGCAACAGAGGAGTGGAGGAGGGGGAAGGAAGAAGATGGTAGGGGTGAGAAGAGTAGTGGGGAGGAAGGGAGGAGGAAGGTCATCTTCAGATGATTTCGGGGCTTTTAGTGTCCCCGCGGCCCGGTCCTCGACCAGGCCTCCACCCCCAGGAAGCAGCCCGTGACAGCTGACTAACACCCAGGTACCTAATTTACTGCTAGGTAACAGGGGCATAGGGTGAAAGAAACTCTGCCCATTGTTTCTCGCCGGCGCCTGGGATCGAACCCAGGACCACAGGATCACAAGTCCCGCATGCTGTCCGCTCGGCCGACCGGCTCCTTCCGACCAGGAAGGGAAGGAAAAGAAGAGAAAGGAGAATGGGGCTAGGACAGGGGAAGGGTGACCGCCACCGCTACAAAGTGCTGCTCCAGGAAGGTGTCCCATAATACCGTAAAGGTCGGCAATAAAGAAGGTCATTAAGATGATCGAGGTTCATTATTACGTTGGTGGTCTTTCCCTGTAGTAGGGGGGGGGGGGAGGGGGTCCTGTGAAGACAAGTGCCGCTTGTGCCAAGTAGAATAAATTCTTGGGGTTCGTTGATCTGGGGCCTGATAGCTGAATGGACAGCGCTTCGGATTCCTAGTCCTAAAGTTCCGGGTTCGATCCCCGGTGATGGCGGAAACAAATGGGTAGGGTTTGTTTCACCCTGATGCCCTAGCAATAAATAGGTACCTGGGAGTTAGACAGCTGCTACGGACTGCTTACTGGGGGGGGGGGGTGTAAGAAAATGTTCCTTCAAAGTTGGGAGCATCTATGGTTCCCGCCTCAAAGTTGGGAGCATCTATGGTTCCCGCCTCAAAGTTGGGAGCATCTATGGTTCCCGCCTCAAAGTTGGGAGCATCTATGGTTCCCGCCTCAAAGTTGGGAGCATCTATGGTTCCCGCCTCAAAGTTGGGAGCATCTATGGTTCCCGCCTCAAAGTTGGGAGCATCTATGGTTCCCGCCTCAAAGTTGGGAGCATCTATGGTTCCCGCCTCAAAGTTGGGAGCATCTATGGTTCCCGCCTCAAAGTTGGGAGCATCTATGGTTCCCGCCTCAAAGTTGGGAGCATCTATGGTTCCCGCCTCAAAGTTGGGAGCATCTATGGTTCCCGCCTCAAAGTTGGGAGCATCTATGGTTCCCGCCTCAAAGTTGGGAGCATCTATGGTTCCCGCCTCAAAGTAAGGAGCATAAAACCAAAAATTCCCGAAACCTCTCTCACTGCTCGCTAACTTGAGCCCGGAGCACCACTTCTGACCTCTAACTCCGCGCCGCTCTGCAACTTAAACCCCTTTAAGACCTCAAAATGATTCCAAACTTGACTCCATCATTCTTACGGCCACCAGGGCGCGCTGGATCCTCACCTTCTAAAACTTCCTCACTAGGCTAAACTTTGGGGCGGAGCGAGGTGTAGCGGAGATACTGAAGAGTATTTTGGGGAGGGAAGAGGTGTGAGGGGGGGAACTGGGGAAAAGCGGAGAAGGGGGAAATGGTGGAGAGGAAGAAAGGGGGGAGGGGACCTTTTTGTTACATCGTGTTGGTTCCGAGGATCAACTTCACCCCGGCTCGGTCTCTGGTCTCTTGGTTGGTGGTCTGGTCAATCAGGCTGTTGGACGCGGCTGCTCGCAGCCTGAGGTATGAGTCACTGTCTGGTTGATCAGGTATCCTTTGGAGTTGTTTATTAATTTATCTCTTGAACACTGTGAGGGGATTTCGCAAAAGCCCGTGAAAAATGTGCCCATGGTGTTATTACACATAAAATGCGTTCAAAAGGAATTACCGAAACAATAGGCAAATGGATCTACAGTTTCCCGACTAACAGAACCCAATGTGTAATAATCAACAAAATAAAATCCAGCCCATCAACCGTGAAGAGCTCAGTCCCCCAGGGTACTGTGCTTGCTCCAGTACTTTTTCTCATCCTCATATCGGACATAGACCAGAACACAACCTATAGCACTGTATCATCCTTTGCAGATGACACTAGGATCTTCATGAGAGTAGACAACATAGAGGACACGGCAAACCTCCAATCAGATGTAAATCAGGTCTGTCTATGGGTTACATAAAATAATATGGTGTTTAATGAAGATAAGTTCCAGCTCATGCGCTACGGAAAACATGAAAATATAAAAACCGAAACCACGTACAAAACTCAGGCAAATCATAACATAGAACGAAAAGGCAATGTAAAGGATCTAGGTGTACTGATGTCAGAAGACCTTACCTTTAAAGAACACAATAAAGTAGCCGTCACAACTGCAAGAAAAATGACAGGTTGGATAACAAGAACCTTTCACACTAGAGATGCTACACCGGATGATACTTTTCAAGACGCTAGTGCTCTCTAGAGTGGAATACTGCTGCACAATGACATCCCCTTTCAAAGCTGGAGAGAGTGCAGAGATCCTTTACTGCTAGAATCCACTCAGTAAAACATCTAACTATTGGGACCGACTAAAGAGCCTAAATCTGTATTCTCTTGAGCGCAGGCGGGAGAGATACATAATAATATACACATGAAAAATAGTAGAGGGGCTGGTCCCAAACGTAAACACAGAAATAACATCACATGAGACCAGAAGTTATGGCGGGATGTGCAGAATACCCCCGTTAAGAACAGAGGTGCAACCGATATGGGCACATCAAATGTGCCCATAGTAGGAAAGCAACATGTAAAGGATTTGGGAAAAATTGTGTCTGATGACCTAACGTTTAGGAAAGGAGCATAACCAAGCAAATATTGCAACCCGTTCTCGCAAATTTAATAAGTCAATATTGACTTATTAAATATGTGCATAGGTGACATACTTAACATAATAGTTTCCCTTGAAAAGCTTCATAGAAAACACCGACCTTACCTAACCTACTTAGTATGTTAAGATAAGCATCTTATTGCTTCGTAATTACAATTATTACCTAACCTATACCTATAATAGGTTAAGTAACAATTGTAATTACGAAGCTATAAGATGCTTATTTTAACATACTAAGTAGGTTAGGTAAGGTCGGTGTTTTCTATGAAGCTTTTCAAGGGAAACTATTATGTTTAGTATGTCACCTATGCACGCAACTAATAAGTCAATATTGACTTATTAAATTTGCGAGAACGGGTTGAATATTGCGTCAGCCAGAAAAATGATAGGATGGATTACGAGAACTTTCAAATCCAGGGATCCCATCACAATCAAGCCTAACCCAATCAAGCGTAATCACAGTCAAGCCCATCAAGCCTGGCCTCGGGCAGGGCTTGGGGAGTAAAAGAACTCCCAGAACCCCATCAAGCAGGTACAATGGTTGTACTCTTCAAATCACTTGTGCTGTCCTGTCCTGAGTACTGCTCAGTACTCACTTCCCTCTTCAGAGCATGAGAGATTGCAGAAATATACGAAATACATGAGAACATATGCAAATGTACTCACTAAAAAGGAGACGGGAGAGATATCAAATAATATACACGTGGAAAAATACTGGAGGGACAGGTCCCAAATCTGCACGGTAAAATAACAACGTACTGGAGTGAACGATATGGAAGAAAATGTAGAATAGAACCAGTGAAGAGCAGAAGTGCCATAGGCACAATCAGAGAACACTGTATAAACATCAGAGGTCCGCAGTTGTTCAACGTCCTCCCAGCGACTATAAGAAATATTGCTGGAACAACCGTGGACATCTTCAAGAGAAAACTAATAATTTTCTCCAAGGAGTGCTGGACCAACCGGGCTCTGATGGATATATGGGCATGCGGGCCGCTCCAAGTAAGAGCCTGGTGATCCAAATTCTCACAAGTCAAGCCTGGCCTCGGGCCGGGCTTGGGTAGTAGAAGAACTCTCAGAACCCCATCAAACCGTTATCAAGCAGGTACTCTGAGAGAGAACTATCAACATCAGAGGCCCGAGACTGTTCAACACGCTTCCACTACACACAAGAAAATACTAGTCACAAATTCGAATCATTCTTTGCAGATGAATAAAAAATCAACATGAAAATTTCAACTGTAGAAGACGACACTTAAAAGACAAAAAGAAAAACAAAAGAGGAAATATTAAAAAGAGATTGAAAAACTACAAGCAGATATAAGTAGCTTTCAACTGGGCAACTGAAAACAACATGAAGTTTAATGGTGACAAGTTCCAGGTACTTAGGAATGGTGGAAACGAGGAACTTTAACGAAACACAAGGAACAGGACACAATCAGACAATCATAGAAGGAAAGCAGCACGTAAAAGATTTGGGAATTGTGATGTCTGACGACCTAACATTTAGTGAACATAACTGAACAAATATAGCGGCGGCCAGGAAAATGATTATCAGAACGTTCAAATCTAGAGACCCCATATCAATGCTAATACTATTTAAATCACTAGTGCTGTCCCGTCTTGAATATTACTCGGTACTGTACTTACTTCCCCTTTTAGAGCGAGAGAGAGCTCTGAAATAGAGGGAATAGAGAGAACATATACGGCACGCATAGAAACGATGAAACATCTAAATTATTGGGACCGTCTCAAAGCTCTCCAAATGTACTCAATGGAAAACAGACGAGAGAGGTTTCAAATAATATATACATGGAAGATACTGGAAGGCCAGGTCCCAAATTTGAACAGTAGAATAACAACATACTGGAGCGATAGACACGGAAAGGAAATGCAGAATAGAACCAGTGAAGAGTAGAGGTGACATAGACACAATCAGAGAACACTGTCTGAACATCAGAGGTCAACAGCTGTTCTATACCCTCCCTGCAAGCATTAGAAATATTGCCGAAACAATTGTGGATATCTTGCAAAAAAAAAAAAGCAAGTAGATAGGTTCTTGCAAGAAATGCCGGACCAACCAGGCTGCAGTGGACACATTGGCCTGCGGGCCGCTCCAAGCAATGGCCTTTTGTACCAAGCTCTCACAAGTCAATTTAGCATCAGACTGGATCCGGGGAGTAGAATTCCCGGAACCCTATCCAGGTAATATCCTGGCTGCTAAGTGATCTACCAATTAAACCATTTGTGTTATTTAAAGGTAAGGTCGTCCGACATGATTGCTCCTAGATCCTTTACATTGCCTCTTCGTTCTATAGTATGATTTGACTGAGCCTTATGTATGGTGTCCGTTTTAATATTTTAATTTTTTGCTATAGCGTAGGAGCTGGAACTTATCATTAGTGGATAGTGGACAGGAGGATATGAGAGGGAAGAAGAAGGCAGTGGACAGAAAGATATAGTAGAGGGGAACAAGAGGACAGTGGACAGAAAGATATAGTAGAGGGGAACAAGAGGACAGTGGACAGAAGGATATGGGAGAGGGGAACAAGAGGACCGTGGACAGAAGGATATAGTAGAGGGGAACAAGAGGACAGTGGACAGAAGGATATAGTAGAGGGGAACAAGAGGACCGTGGACAGAAGGATATAGTAGAGGGGAACAAGAGGACAGTGGACAGAAGGATATAGTAGAGGGGAACAAGAGGGCAGTGGACAGAAGGATATAGTAGAAGAGAACAAGAGGACAGTGGACAGAAGGATATAGTAGAGGGGAACAAGAGGACAGTGGACAGAAGGATATAGTAGAGGGGAACAAGAGGACAGTGGACAGAAGGATATGGGAGAGGGGAACAAGAGGACAGTGGACAGAAGGATATGGGAGAGGGGAACCAGTTTTATGGGGAAGAAAGAAGCTTCGAGGTTAAATAGGCAGAAGTTTAGGAGGGGGACGAGGTGATTGTCACTGAAGGGGAGTGTAATTGTCAGTTAAAAGTTGGAAGTGGTGACTGACAAGCATTTTCCTGCGTGTGATACGGCACGTGGAGGGTAGTTAGAGTTGATGTGGGGCTGCCATTACCAGTGTGTCATTACGCGGTGTTGGGTGCTGGAGGAGAAATATGGTTGGGGTGTCTAGTGTGCTTCATTTATCATGGTTATTGTTCAAAGGTGCATTTAGGGATAAGGGGTGAGGGTGTGTGTACTCTCCTAAATGTCTCGGCAGGTTGAGCTTCAGCTTCTGGGTCTCACCTGTTCAGTTGTCGGTCGTGAGTTAAAATATCTGTCGTGTTTATAACTGGGTTTATAGTATATCTCATAGTATTAAATTCAGTTGGCTCGGTTTTCTCACACTGCGAAATGTTTCCTTCTTTGTCGACTCATCTGGGAAGAGCGACGGTCTCACTTCTTGCAGGTCGGCGT